TTGCAGATATAGTGTCCAGGAGTGTGACAAGAAATAATAACACTAGCACACTAGATGCAGATTCATAAAACCAGAGGTTTAACACTAATTATGAATACATATACAGTACATATGAAACGATAAATGACTGGTGGCAGACATTTGTAAAGAATGTTTTTTTTGTGTGTGGTGATAGGAGTATCTGGTGTGCCAGTGAATGTTTTTTTTGGACATTAAGTTCACCCTGCCTTGTTTTTTTAAATTATTTTCTATTAATACAGTAAAAGGACGTTCTATTACTATCTTAATAGCAAGAGCAAGGTTTGTACGACTATGAAAGAAGCTCCTCAGCCATGCTCTTAATTCTAATACCCCGATTTCTTTAAAGAAATGTCTGGAAGAAATCCTTTAATCAATTAGGTTAAATCAACTGCCCCGTGGGCTAGATGGTCTTAATGGGCTCCCTTTCATTTCGAACCTTATGTTTTTAACATAGTGCTCGCTAAACCTTTCTGGGTTCTGCAGTGATTGAGGCCAGATTGTAGACACTCAATCCTGTTTATTCAGCACAACCGCACATGTCCTTACATTTTCGTTCACATGATAAATGTTTGCTATGAAAGAAATAATGTAGGATAGTATTTTAAAAGGATATTATTATGAATGGGGGATACCCAGGCAGCTGGTATAATTAAAGGCTCGTGTTCGTTGGCACAGCTTTGGTGAGAGGTGAAATAATCCAGGCACTGGATTAAACAAATATTTATTACAATGACAAGACACAAACTACACTACATACAACAAAACATATAACACACACATTAGCCTATGTACAGTATTTACAAACAAGGCGTTTCAGAGGCCTAACATTCTGGTCACCCAGAAAACACCAGACCTCTACTAAGCATTAAACTCTAAATACCTACAGAGGCCAAATAAGAGATAAGCTGCCTTTCAAAATAAATTCGATACAACCTGTAGTTTAATCTCTCTCTCTGCCACAAAATAAATGATAGTCTATCTCCCTATTCTAAGAATGCACCCTAAGCAGAAAAGACATCTTTTACCCAGGAAATCAAGTTCCCTAACATCAGAATAGCTCTATCTCATAAGATTCAAATACTTAGCTCCAGTCAGGTATTGTGTGGCTGATCATAAAGCAGGGGCTCTCGCCTGACGCTCTCACTCTCGCAAGCTTCACATTCCAACTCCTCTCTTCTCTCTATCCTTGTCCTCCTTTCCTTCTTATTCCCTTAATTCTTAATTCCCTTTTTCTCTGCTCTCCATGTGATCTTATATGTGTGTTTCTGTATGGCTCATTGACGATCATTAACCAACAATCTACATAAGTATACTAAGGTAAACTTTACAATTGCTTTTGCTGAAGGGACCCCCCCAGACCTCAGCAATCAAACTCTCTGCTTTGAAGTTAGAAGTGTTGACTCTGCCAAGTGTCACAAACTTTATTTAAACTTGAAGACACACTTCCTAGTCATCTAAAGCTGTAACAATGTTATCACACAATTGGTATAAAGTATACACATCTCCCTCAGACAAAAAAGCCTTAAAAATCCCTTAAAACAGCATTGCAAATTGCAGTTTTGTGAGTGTGAATTTATGTGTGTATACAGGAAAATAATATTGAATAAGACTTTTTCAAACACTCATCAAAATGCTCTTATTTTCAGTCTTACTAAATCTGAAAAATGGTAGCAGATGACATATGAAGATTTTGTAATTATTTAAGACTATCTCCTATTTACAGTATGTGCTCCTCCAAATTGCTGTAGAGAAGACATTACAAAAGGACAGAGCTATTCAAAAAGCAAGCACATTCAGAAAATGAAGGCGGTTGCAGTCGTTTGTGAATATGATTTTACCAAGTACTTTTTGATATGAACTACAGAAATGGCTATAAGAATATGAACTGCAGGGATTTCCAAGAGATCACAATTAAAATAATGAAATGAGAAAAAAACAGGCAATGCAGTAAATCTATAATGAATCAAAAGGACCCTTGAGCTCCCCCCTCCAAAGCGGTTCCCGAAAATAAACAACATATACTGTAACCTTCAAAAATAACAGCAAGAAAATGACACTTTAAATTAGCAGAGCTGACAGCAGGGGTTGTTTACAATGCACAAAAAAATCAAGACAGAAAAACTGAGCATTATTTTTTTTTAGTTCTCCAGGCTGAAAGCTACATCTCCAGGGATGAAGTAAAAATGAAAGGCATGTTAACTGTGATTAGAGCAATCTGCCCAAAGTCTCAGGCCAAGACTGTATTAACACTTGTCACATATATTTCTGCAGTCCACAGAAATCCTTCTGACTGAACTTTCTGATTTTAGACCCATCAATGTGGCAGAAGACAACGTGTCTCTGAAAAGTGACTTTGGAGCCTGAAGTGTGATTTGATGTTAACACAGAGCATGCTTCTCCTGTTCAAACCTGACTGGACAGCAGACGCTACCAGAGCTAAGCCGCATACCTGCAGGATGTTATTGTTTACAAAATTAAATTCGGTTTGACAAATTAAACTTTGCCAAGAGCAAGAAAGAAACAAAACAACAGACGGTTCTATGCAGTAACAGCAGAAGAGCCAGGTTTTTGTGCAAAGGCAATGGCTGATGAAATTCTAACTGGGTGCGTACCAACGAAAGGATGTATTTTCAAACAGCATGTGTTCACATTAAATTGCACTTGGAGAATAGCGCATAATTGTATGTTAGAGATAAAACAAAATGCTCTTTTCAAGTTTAACAAAATACTCCCATTTACAGCAATTATTTTCGTGAGTTATTGGTCATTTTGAAGAAAATAATAACTTTATGTACAGTACTTTATGTAGTGTCCGTGAAGGACTTGTGAGATGTTCCTAGTGAACAGCCGTGTAGAAGCAGAAGCTGAACAGCTCATGTAGTGAGTGAAATAACCTATATAGCCTTGGACATTATTTTCAGGTATGCCTGCAGATTTTGTATGGTTCAGACATATTCAAGATTTTTTTCTTCTCAGATCTTACTACAACACACTTACTAGGAAACACAATGTTATTACAATTTATTTCCATATAAAGCGTAGCTGCAAGAATTATGCGTTATTAAAGATTTCCAATAACAGTTTCCTTGGCCAAGCAGCCTGTGCTTCTGTGTAAAAGCAAAGGACTACAGTTAAAAATGGTCCCTCTGATAAGTGGTCTGTAATACAGAGAAGGACATTGGAAAGCTGTGCTAATTCTGAAACACCCTGATGATATACAGTATGGTGGAGCTTTGTATCCCTTAGTCTGCTATCTCCCTTCCAAGAATATTCAGTGTAATGCTATAGTCAGGAAGAACCAAGTTCCTCCAACACATCTTACTTGTGGCCAGACCCAAACAAATGACTGTGCACAGACTGTTTTAAAGAGCCGAGTTCAGAAAGATGTTCATTTGCTTGCAGAGCAGTCCTCAGCATCATTAGGGAAAGCTCTCCTCTCTTTTCTCTCTGCACAGTGACACTCCCAGCACAGAGCAAGCAGTCAAAGAAACCATTGTGAGAACCCAGCCATACTTCCATCCTCAGTGTTCAAACGCATCAAGAAATGTTTGTTTAATGAATATTTGAGTATAAAACTTTCATATTCATATTATGATTCTTGAGAGATCAAGAGCTCTCTCTCAACAGTAAATATAAAGTTAAGTTCATGCTAGTAAATGTAGACTTACTTGTCTTTGAAAATATAAGTGGGAGAGACAAATATAATCTACAAGGTAGACAATTATACAATATACTGTTAAATTTTAATGTTCTTATTTCTTCTCATTGTAATGAGAATGAGTGAAAGATCAACTGATTGTATAATAGCAGAATGGTTCACAAATTATATTGTACCACTTTTGATGGTTTGTTATGCATGTTTAGGTGCTGTATCAATAAATTGTATATTGTATATTTAGAATCCGTGTGTGAAACTGTATGTTATTTTGTTTGATTGATTTTTGACAGTTGTCAAAGACTCTCGCAATTACTGCTCCAATGTTTAATTGTTTCAGCAAATTAAAATCTAAGTAGAGTTCTTTGCACATATTTAGAAACTTTCCTCTAATGTGGATGTAACAAATTTAAGTTTAGTTCAGTAATGCAGCTTTGGTGGTGTAACTCATTACTTTTATGTGGACTGTATACACACTTTAAATGCTCCAGTCTTACTTGACCGAACACTGCATGGCCTTTCTTGGTGTTGGGGCAACCAGTAAGTAATATACTGGTTATTCAATTGAAGATTTTTTCTTTCATATTTTCTTTTTCAAAGTTTCCAAAGTTTAATCTCTTTGGGAATAAATAAAACAGTCAAAGACAGATTCAAGACAGATATAATTACTACTGAAGTGAAGTACTGTACATCACATAATTACTACTGAAGTCAACTTCAACAGTATAATTATTATTGGAGTGGACTTCACTAATATAATCACTACTGCAGAGGAGTATACCAGAATACTTACCACTGAAATGGACTTCACCAGTACAATTATGACTGAAATGGACTTCACAGGTATAATTACTACTGAAGTCTGGAAGTACTGGTAGTTGGCAAACTGGTTTACAGCATTGTTTTTTGCATTCACGTACTGTATTCGTTTTTTGCATAACATACTGCTTTTAATTCAGAAATTCAAAGTTTAAAAATGAGAAAATATCATTTTCTTTCAAAACTACAAACACCACTGTGCACTAACTTTCAAAGGAGGGCTGCAAAATGTCTTTACACTTCATTTTGCTCATACAGTATCTTTCCTTAAAATTCTGAAAATAATTGTATTTGGTAAAAACAAGGTATGCCTTATATGTGTGGTGTGTGGATTCTTTCCAAGACCATTTTACTGCACATTTGTAAAAAATTTAGTTTGTCATAGTTGAAAATCCAGACAGCTGCTCTTTCATGGGATTCCCTGCACATTTAAGTGTCACAATATTCACATCACAAACTGTGACAGTAAGGCGCATGCTGTTAAATGTTGAAAACCAAGGCTTACCCCCACAGATTTCCCCGTTGACGTCCTCACACTGTCGGTCATCACACTCGCAGTTCTTTCCCTGAACTCTTGGGTCGCCCGGTGGGAAGCATGTGCACTGACCGCACACACATTGTCCTGAAACAGACATCTCCATCAGTCCAAGGGAAGATATCCATCAGCCTGACTGAAACACTAAAGAAACATATTCAAGGCAATAGCTTTACAGGGGTCATACTTTTGGTCCATTGCATGCCCTTAACCCCTTCATCCAATTATTTTAAAAAGTTATTTTATCCTGAACCATAGAAAAACTCCATGACAATAACAAGTGTTTACCTTCCGGAACTGTATAATGTTTTACATTTAAGTTTTAATGTAGGGAAAGAGTTCTTGCACATGGCACATTTTGGAGAAAGAGTTTCTGTTCTTTTTTTGGTCCCAAAACATTCTATCTCATTTACATTGCTTGTAGTGTTCTTTGTCTTAAATGGGTGAGAATACAATAAACATTGTCAAAATGTGCTGGAAGCCTTTATTTCTTACTAAATGTGCTTGATTGGAGAAAGACATTTCCAACAACCGACAGTAATGATTGTACTAGTTGCTTAAAATATATGAAGTGGGGAAATCAGAACACAAAAATGAACTGATTGTACTATACAGTAGCAATACTATAGTTTTTTTTATTTAAATTTTATTTAATACGCTGGATGATCTGTTATAATCCAGTTGTGGTGACAATCTACAAAATCAGGATCTTATAAAATGAATGACCTTTTAACATTCTTTCCTTGATTCTAATCATACATCATTACATATCATTAATACAATATGCAAGGAGGGACAGTGAAGTGTGTTGTATACTTCATAAAAGCTTACTATAAAGTTTGCATGTACACTTACTGTACATTTATTTTCCTTTACCTTGGATTCCTTTCTTAATCATAGATCTCTATTCCATAATCCATAATTGCACTCAGACATTTAATTTTATGTCCCTGCACTATCACACAACACTTTTATTAGGGATATAGGGGAAATTAAAAAGATAATAACTAAATAAATAAAATAATGTTAAATCTTGCAATGAGTCTGTTATGGTAAACAGTTAATAAAGGTTCCCAATAAATCAGAGGCAATTTCCTGTAATATCCAGGAAAGAAAAAAGCTTCTGCATAGCAACAACTTCAGTGATTATAGACCTCCATCTATCATTGGTAAAGTAACAATAAGCAACACTTGAGAGTTCTGTATTCTTGCTTCTTTAACATAATTATCACACATATTGTGCTGGCACTGAAACCTGTGATGGTAATTAGAGACTTACAGAAAACTGAAAAGGAAGTCCTGCTGTGACATTACAGTTTTTTTTTTGTTTTCTTACATCAGATTCACCATGGCAACCGAAAGGGAGTCACTACCAAGTGTGTCGAAAACATTTGCTTAAAAGTTCAAAATCAAATGCTATATGTTGCCATAGGACAATAGTAACAATTTCATACTAGAGTGATCCATGTATTGTAAGTAAATGTTAAGAGGAAAAAAAAAACTATCTTCAAGTCATTGTTCACCATATTTCTCATTAAAATAATGTACAGAGAGTCAAATACTGTTTCCTCAATCTTCGTAATCTAACCAAATGTCTATAAAACAGTGAAATCTCACAATTCTATAGAATTCCATTATCCCATACTTTCCAGAAAAGGATGAGTCCTTAAAATTGGAAGTACTGTAGTAGAACTGAGGAGAAGAGAAAGATCAGATGTTGTGCTTTGGGTTAGAGATGAATATAAAAAACAAAAATACTATGTATTATGTTAAAAAACACAGCGGATGTACAGTATTATTATTGCTATAAATATTAGTTGTGCTATTGAACTGATCATAATAAAGATTCCAAACAAGAGGAGACAGTTAAGCTCACCTAGCTGATTCCAAGTATCTAATTGATCTGTGGATCTCATCCATGTGTTTCTTGAAACAAGCCAGGTTATCAGCTTCAACAGCTTCTTGTTTTTCAGTTTTAAAAGCAATTTCCCGCTGCTTCCATTTCTGTCGCCTCATCCCTGTATCATTATGGATTCTAATGAAATCCATTGGGTTGTCAATCTGTCAATCAATTTGCCTTTGACTATTTTAAATACTTGAATCTAGGTCTCATAGTTGTTCTTATAATTGATACCCTGGCTTCTTTCACGAAACAGCTGGGTAAGATCTTTGGATCAAATTAGAAACTAGCAACTAAATGGTACTGTAGGTGGATCAAATGTCAAATGTCTCCCTCTCAATTACAACCTTTCTTTATTTTGTTCTTACAGTTTAAACATCTTTTGCAGCATCTGTTCTGCTGTCCAAATCTATTTAGTTTTTTACTGCAAATATCACTACCTTGTACTATACTTAACTATATCAGAATCTAGATAATTTACATCATTACAATATAGCAGTGCTCCTAAAACAGATCCCTGTGGCACCCCTCTTATTACAGTACATCACCTCATTTTGAGCATTTCCCCCACATCTGTTCTGTTTTTGTCATCAGCAGTTTTCAATCAAAACACAAGCTTTACCTGGAGAGTTTTCTGCCTTAAATGTGATAAGTAATCTTTATAATGAACTTCATGGAAAGTCTATAGCTTTAACGGACTAGAACAAGTTATTTAAGCAAAAGCTACCTTTTCTTAGACAATCCTCTAATTTACATCTAATTATCATTTCCATAATCTTACTTATTAGACTATAATTACTTGTTTCAGTTTTATCTTTTTATGAACAACAAATTTTAAATCAATGACTGATAAATATTGGCCTTAAGCAACTGCAATAACATCTTATCTACAGTAAGTACAAGTGGTAGGATACCATCGGGTCCTGAAGATCTTAAGCGCTTGTAGTACCATTATTGGACTTAGCCTGTACGGTTTCAAAATATACTTCAAACCAGCATATTTTATTATTAATTACTTAATTGGATCAGAACTTCTTCATGTCCTCTGGTGCTGCTATTTTAGGCTTGTTAGGAAACCGGAATACACTCTGGCTCTTTGGATCCACGATCCCTGGACAAGATCAATACAGGGATTACCTCTGTAGGTACTCTTACAAACCATTTATGGAAACAGTTATTAGTTTCAGTTTCTTTTGATGACGTTCCTTTTGATTTTTCCTAATTTTTACTGTATATGGAAATACTTCCATCATAAGCCCTTTACACACACATCCCTGATTTCATTATATAATATGGAGTTTTATAACGAAGGTTTGCTAGGGATGACAACAACCAAGTTCAATCAGACTTGGCTGTCAACAATTAGCAATCACTCCCGATGTTATTTCCTCATATACTGTACTGTACATCCTTTTGCATCTCACCTCCACCCTATCTCCACCTGTGCAGCTGCCCTTTGGTTTACTCCTCACTCTGCAAGGTGTCCTAGCCTCCTTGTCCTGTGGTCAGGAGGTTAGCCCTCAGCCAAGTGGATGAAGCCAAATTTTGACTAAACACTCCATAAGCCTTTCAGTAAAGATAAGATCACTTTATTGGCCATATACAATTTCTTGCATTAGGACTTTGTCTTTTTCACATTCCCCAGCTTGCTCTCCATGAGACACACAGACAGAGAGAGAAGCTTGGGGTCAGAGCGCAGGGTCAGCCATTATACAGTGCCCCTGGAGCAGTTGGGGTTAAGGGCCTTGCTCAGGGGCCCAATGGAGTAGGATTTCTCTGCTGGCCGCGGGATTTGAACTGACAACATTCCAGCCACAGGCGCAGATCCTTAGCCAAAGAGCCACTGCTTCTTTTTTTTCTATATATATATTTATTAAGTAAAAGTAATTCTTGGCTTTTGTTATTCCTAGTGAAATTGAATTATAGCTACTGTATATGTTTATATGTATATAAAACTCATACCTCTATATACTGTACAGTAGTGTATAGACCCTTGATATATGTACAGTAGGTAAAAAAAGGAGTTACAGGACATTACTGCATAATCAGGTATAATAAGGAAAAATCCTTACACATTTGGAAGAATTAACTATTAAACATAACAAACAAACAAATTGACTAATCAATGTGTCAGGAGCAATTTTTACAAATGAAATGTCCTGTATCATCACAACAGATAACAAATTAAAATTAATATGTCCTTTATGGCATCACCTTCAGATGAACAAACCTATACCTATTTTTGACAGCTTTCCAGATTTCACTGTATTTAAATATTTTATTTATTTTAATACAGTGAAAGAAACAGATTTGGTTTGACTGCAATTTTCCGAGAAGTCTTTGGAAATGAGACAGCAAAACAAAGGATGAACTTTGAATAAATGCAAAAAACATTAACAGTTGTGCAGGTCCTCTGTGTTAATATGAGGAAGTACATTCATAGCCATTATAACTATTGATGTTATTAATATTAATGTTAGAGAACATAGACATGATAATGTAAACAGCACAAGATGAGCAATCTACAGTGTGACACACTGATTATATAAAAACATATGGTTATGATATCGAAGTATCCAAATCTCTATATTGTGATTATATTATATATACATTCAGAATATACTGTACATAAGTATTAATTTTTTTAAAACTGGACATCAAGTTGAAATGTGTTTCTTCCATAATAAGCTACCACATATGTACAGTATTGAATGAATACACCTATAGTGTGAATACATAAAACAAGAACATAAGAACATATGAAGACTGGAAATAAGAGGAGGGTTCATTGGATTGCTTGTGACTTATAAGTGGCTTATTAGTCTGAGGATCTCAGATCTCTTTTTCATTTGGAATTGGCTTACACAGCATAGCCAGTTCCAGACACCTACAGCCCTTTGTATAGAAAAGTTGGTTCCTGTTCTCATTCCAACTCAATTCTTCAATTCACGTTGCAAAAATCTATGTAGATACCGAATGCGACATACAGTATATATAGGTTGAAAGAACTGCACCTTTATAGTTGTGATCACAGAAGACGGTTGGAACGAGTATTACAAATGAATAAACATGGACGTCTTCAGAACAAGCCATTAAACAAAAGCCAGAAGACTCAAGTGGACACTACATTGAACAGGTGGCACTTCTTCACACAAATGGCCGTGTGAATCTGCAACAAGTTGCCCAA